TTAGGTTGCCATTGTGGTAACTCTTATTTAATAGGCTTAGCTTTTAGGTCCCATTCCCCTCGATGAATTCTCAACTAACTCTCTTACTAACCCTTTGGTTAGTAGATCTGCTATGTTTGTCTTTAGACTTAACATATTCAATGAAATAATTCCATTAGAGAGTAGTTTGTCGCACAGTGTTATGTCGACGACGAATGTGTCGTGACTTACCGTTATACATATGACTCTGTGCTCTACCTATTGCTAATTGACTATCGCAAATGTATGCATATAGCAGGCACCGGTTTTGGCCATATTGGAATATCTTCAAGGAAGTAGCGAAGCCATTCTGCCTCTTCCCCAGCTTTGTCTAAAGCTATGAATTCTGATTTCATAGTAGACCTAGCAATACAAGTTTGTTTGGAAGATTTCCAAGATACAGCCGCCCCCAAGAATAAAGACATACCCACTGGTGGACTTTAAGTCTCTGGTATCCGATATCCAGTTTGCATCACAGTAACCTTCAGTATTGCTGGATATCTAGTATAATTTAACCCAATGTTACGAGTAAATCAAAGATATCTTAGAACCCTTATAATTGCTTTCTAGTGTTCTACTCCTAGATTACTCGTATATCTACTTAATTTACTTACTGCATAAGCTATATCTGGGCGAGTGCAGTTCATCAAGTACATTAAGCTTCCAATAATTTGGGCATACTCTAATTGAGAAATACTTTCCTGTATATTCTTAGAAAGATACAAATTAACATCTACAGATGTTCTAGCAAGATGATCATTATCTTTGCTGAATTTGTCAAGTATTTTCTCAATGTAATGAGATTGTAACAAGCATATCCTTCTGATGTTTGTTGGTAATTTTCATACCAAGAATTACATCAACAATGCCATGTCTTTCATGTCAAAATGTTTATTCAACATTTTCTTAGTAGTTTTAATCATGTCATTATTACATACCTACGATGAGCATATCATCTACATAAAGACATACAATGACATAACATTTGTCTTGTGTTTTTTAATATAAACACATTTGTCACACTCATTAATTTTGAATCCATTTGACATCATTGTCTTGTCAAATTTCTCATGCCATTGCTTTGGCGCTTGTTTTAAACCATATAATGATATAACCAATTTTACACACTTTCTTTTCTTTTCCTGGAACAGAAAACCTTCTGATTGTTTATGTAAATTTCTTCCTCTAACTACCATTTAAGAAAGCGGTTTTCACATCCATATGATGAATTTCTAAATTGTATAAAGATGCAATGGCAATTAACATTCAAATGGATGTTATTCTAGTAACGGGTGAGTATGTGTCAGTAATCAAGACTTTCTTTTTGTCTAAAACCTTTGACCACAAGTCTTGCCTTGTATTTGTCAATTGATCCATCTGCTTTCATTTTCTTTTAAAAATCTATTTGTACCAAGAGGTTACAACCTGGTGCAAGTCCACTAATTTCCAAGTGTGATTTTGCAAGATGGATTCAACTTCACTGTTGACAGCTTTTCTTTCCTAAATGAGCCTCAGGACTGGACATAGCCTTTTAAAAGTTAAAGGCTCATTTTTAACAAATATGTTAGAAAATCTGGACCAAAAGATTTTGAGGTTCTAGCACTTTTACTACGCCTAGGTTCCTCTTTCTCATTTTGATCTAACTCTTGTTTCTGATCATGTTCTTGATCCTGACTAGTAATAGATCATGAGATCTTTTATGGTTACTAATCTCTTGTCCAGTTTATTTGAAAATAATATTCAAAGAAAGATGCATTCCGAGATTCAATAATAGTATTTACATGCATTTCGAAATGTTCTGATTTATGAATCAAAAACGATAAGTACTATACTATTCTTGGCATAACAATGAAATGCAATCAATGGTCTTAGGACCTATCTTAGTCTTTTTAGGACTAGGAATAGCCACTTTAGCCAAACACCCTTTTAGTATATTGTAGGGCTGTTTTTATGCCACAATTTCAGTTGTTTGATTCACTTTCTTTCGAGGCACTTTATTAAGTATATAATCAGCAGAAAGTATTGCTTCCCTCCACAAGTTCTGAGGTAATCCAGAACTTATTAACATGGCATTCATCATTTCTTTTAAAGTCCTATTTTTTCCTTTCAGCAATTCCATTTTGCTGAGGTGAGTAGAGAGCGGTGTTTGATGAATTATTCCATGTTCTTTACAAAATTCACCAAAAGGTGATTCATATTCACACCTCTATCACTTCTAAGTTTCTTGATTTTTTTACAAGTTGATTTTCAACTTCGTTCTTATATTGAATGAAAGTTTCCAAAGCTCCATCCTTGGTTCGAATTAAATAACCATAACTATATCTAGTATAGTCATCTATAAAAGTGATAAATATTTTTTCCCACCTCTTGTTTGAATTTACTTAAAATCACAAATGTCACTATGAATTAATTCAAGTGGTTCGTACTTCATTCAATTGAATGAAAAGGAGTTTTAAATAATTTTGCCTCAACACAAATTTCACATTTATGATTTGAATCAATTGCAATTTAGGTAAACATTTCATATTAATTAATCTACGAAAAGATCCATAATTAACACGTCATAGTCTACCATGCCATAAATTTGAGGACTCAAGCAAGTAAGAAGAAGATGTATTATTATTAATAACTGAGGGTACAACGGTCATTACATTTAACTTGAAAAGGCCATCAGACATGTAACATTTTCTTACATACATCCCATTCTTAGTAAGTACAAATTTATCACTTCTCAAATAGTAGCCTAAATCCATTCTTACTCAACAAAGATCCGGAAAGAAGATTCTTGCGAATGTCTGGTACATGCAGCATATTGTTGAGAGTGAGTTCTTTTCTGTGTCATCTTGAGAACAATCTTTCCTTGTCCTTCAACTTTGGAAGTTGAGGAGTTGCCCATAAAAAGTTGTTCACCATTATCACTGTAGAATAAGATGTGAACATATTTTTGTCGGCACAAATATGGCGAGTAGCACCAGTGTCCACCCACATTCTTTAGGATTTCCAACAAGATTTGCCTCGGAAATAACTGCAGAAAGATTTATGACATCTACACCATTGGAAATTTATCCATTTTGTCATTTTTGCTTTAGCAACCTTCTTACTTGATCTTCCTTTGCCTTTAACGTTTGTAACGACAATCTTTGGCCGATGTCCCTCTTTGTTACAAATGTAATACATGCCATTAAACTTGTACTTTTTAGTTTTCCCCTCCTTTAGATAGCATTTTTCTCTGCTATCTTTTAAAAACAGTTTCTAAGACTTCTCTGGTTTTTCACCATGATTCACTGGCACAGTCCAACATAAGGAAGGTTGGCGTAATGGCAATCACATACCAGTACTGGTTTGAACATAAGTTTGACCAGTTTTAGTAGCCGTAAATTCTAAATTATAAAACAAGATTATAATTAGAATTTTATACTACACAGAAAATTTAAACCAAAAAACACAAAATTTTAATTCTGTAAAAATAAAAGAAACAATAATTGTAACTTTTGTTTCCAATTAATTTGAAAATAAAATAAAATTTTATTTAAACAAATTAAACAAAACTACAGAAATAAATTCTGTTAAAATAAAGAAACAAACAAAATGTAACTTTTATTTTCAATTAATTTGAAAAATAAAATAAAATAAAATTTTATTTAACCAAATTAATTCCACATAGAAAATTGAATTCTGTAAAATAAAAAGATAAAAAATATAACTTTTATTTTTCAATTAATTTGGAAATAAAATAAAATTTTATTTAACCAAATAATTCACACAAAAATTAAATTCTGTAAAATAAAAAAAATAAGAATATAACTTTTATTATTCAATTAATTTGGAAATAAAATAAATTTTATTTAACCAAATTAATTCACACAAAGAAATTAAATTCTGTAAAATAAAAGAAATAAGAATATCTTTATTTTTCAATTAATTTGGAAAAAAATAAAATTTTATTTACAAAATTAATTTCACACAGAAACTTAAATCTCTTGTAACACTCCAATAATTAAAATACTGAAACAAAATTTTAATTAATGAAAACTCAGAAAATAAATTCTAAAACCAAAATTAATTTTCTGACAAAATTCCACAAAAATATATTCTGAATTGTTAATGACACCAGTATCGTACTACTAGTTGTCAAGAAAATAGATGGTATATTACTATCTATCTCAAACAATATATAATCACTATTTGGTTTTCCAACCAGAATTTATTTTATAAATCCACAGAAAATAATTTTCTATAAACAAAGAATGGAAAGGAAACAAATGAAAAATTCTGTAAACAGAATAATTCGAATCTGTCTTAAGATTGTTGAAACAATCTTCTGTGTAAATAAAATAAATAGAAATAATTAAACAAATAAAAAAAATAAACTTACAGAATTTATTTTGTTGAACCGTAACATATAATAAAACCAAGTCGAGTGTGTGACACTCTGTCGTTAAGACAGATTCGCCGCCGCTACGGTGCTTACGGTTATGTGGGTCTATCTCCAGGATACAATGATCTTCACAAATTTAATAGTAGCACTTTCAAACAAATTTGTCGCGGCGAACTAGAACCTTGTGTTCTATAATCTCTCTGAAATTTTTCTAAAATAATATGAAGAATAAAGGACGCAAGAGAGCAAAATGAAGGCAAAAGAAAATGAATTTTCGAAAAAAAACCAAATTGGAATGGGGGCTGCTTTATATAGGGCTTTGTTTGGCACCTATTATTGAATAGAAAAGGTATGAAGAAGGGACATAACCCTTCCTTTAAAATAAAGAGACACATGAAAGGTTTGCACCATTTCATTCAAATGAAGGTTTGACCTTTCCTTTAAAACAAAAAGACACCATGAAAGGTTAACACTCTTTCATTCAAAATGGAGTCTATTTCAATTCACAACTACCTCTTTATAAATTTTCCAACAGTGTGCTCTATGTTATTTATTGTATATACATAGGCATTTTATGTTTCAAGATCAAGATAGCAATGCTCATATGGCGTATTGGCTATCAAATACTTTCTGTGTTGTTGTTTTTGCTTCAAAGGACTTTGAAAGCTACTGGTGGGAAACCACAGCTCCAACGTTCATTCTTTGGGAGGATGACTCAAGTAACGAAATTCCTATTTACTCATTTATTTATAATTTTAATTATGATTTCCTTTTTATGGGATTATAGAGAAATGAATGCACTATCCACAAAATGGAGAATTTAATTGGTAAAAATCGTCTATTGCATTATGTAAAGTAATTCAATATTTAGCATTTCTTATGATTTTTTTCTAAATACAAATGATTTTGATATTTTCTCAAGGATTTCGATCATCCTTTCTTCTGCCAACCTTTATTTCTTACGGGCTTGAAGTGAACCAAGTTGAGGCCAAATATCCAACTTTGCTTTTCAAGCAGCAGCTCACTACTTATGTGGAGAAGATATATGGTGTAGTTCGAGACAATTCGAAGAAGGACTTGTCCCCGCTTCTTTCTTCTGCATCCGGTACACTGTCTACCAAAGTTTGATCTTTCAATTGCTTGTATCTGGATTCTATTTTTCAGGTAACAATCATATGATTGTTCGAAGGTTAACATTGAACTTGTTCCAAGTTATGAATGATTATTATATTGGTTGGAAATTTTTAGGAAATAAATTGCTTTGTTGAATGGTTTTTAGTCTTGATTCTCGACATTACATTATAGTTTGGACATCTTTTTCTTTTATTCACCAGATGTATTTTTTCTGTGAGCCTGTCTAGGATTAAAGATAATAGATCTTTGTCAAAAATCTATTGAAGATGTTAGCTGAATGGAAGTAGTAACATTAGTTTCAATCTTTCGCTTCAATCTGGTCATGGTTCACATTCTATATTCCCATATAACTATTAATTGTTTTTTTTTTTTTTGTTTTTTTTTTTTTTTTTTGTTTTTAGTTAATAAATTAGGCTTTGTGAAACCAATTTACTATCAATTTAGGGATTTTTGCGTGTATGTCTACTAACAGTTAATCTCACATCCCTTGTTGAAATCAAAATTGCAATTTATCTCTCTTGGGCGGAAAGTTTTGTTTTTTTACTATTGTTTTTGTTTCAGGATATTGTTAGGAATTTTAGGTAGCAAGTAAGGAAGCAAGCTTTACATTATAAAGCTAAAAGTCGTAGTACATAAAACACCCAGTTTAGAATTACATAGTTTTGTCCTCTCTTTTTTTTTTTTTTTTGGTAAAAGTTTTAGTTTAAAGACATATTGAGTGTGTGTGTATTGCTGTTGAATCATGAACCTAGGAGGGAGGTCCATTGCTCTGTAACAAATCTTGAAAAATCAGAGTTTTTGAGTTAAATTTTATGTAGTAGTCTTAGTTTGTTTTAGTTTTTTAAATTCAAATGCATAGGAAGGCGCAATGTGACGGTTGGTTGATTTATTTTCTTTTGTTGTATGAGTATGCAGGGCTGTTGGCAATTCCAAGAGCCAAGGTATCTTATTGAATCCTTTTTTTTTTTTTTTTAACAATCATCTTGCAGCTATTTGCTTACAAAGTTCAGTTTTTTAATTATGTGGTTTAGGGAACTTGTTGAAGAGATCACTCCACAGTAATGCAGAGAAGTTTTGAATTTTCAGGCTGAGGTGTCTAGGTTTTATGGACATCATTATCACTCACTTTTACAGCAATAAAGAATCTTCTTTAGAGAATTATATTGGTGTGTAAGGGACAACATGTTTTGTTCTGATTTCTCTATTTTGTATGGGAATAATTATTTCATAGGTTTAGTGTGATATATGCTTAATTGTATTGGATTATTTGACATTAAGTTATCTTTTTTGGATGGTTGGAAAATGAAATGGATTGCAAATTGCGAAATGATTCATAATAGATTGTATGTGTTTTATATAATTATACGATACAAGTTGCTGGAATACCATATGTTGTGACATATAATTAAAAATAAAATAAATCATGTTTTTTTTGCAACTTAAAACAATCTAGTACCCAAAATGAAGTGGAATATTTTAGCGACTAAATAAAGTTAGTAGCTAAAATAAAAATAAAATGCGAAAAAACAACTTTTGGCATACTAAATATTAGTAGCTAAAAAAATATAAAATTAAAATAAAATGGAAGAAAATTTTTGGAGCGTCATAAATATTATAGTAGCTAAAAAAGTAAAATAAATAAAATAAAATAAATAAGATGAAATAAAAAAAAAAAAAAAAAAAAAACGCTTTGGCGACTAAAATTTGGTCGGCCTCCGTGTAAGATAATAAAAAACTTCAAGTTTGGCGACCAAAAGTTTTTAGTAGCGGAAAATAAGATTTTTGGCGACTAAAATATTTATTTTTTGGCAGACTTAAACAATACCAGTCGCCATTTATAAGACTTTTGTGACTAATATTTTTTCAGTTCACCAATATCTTTTCCTCGAAACCTTCTCGCCTATGCCGGCGACATAATTTTATATCGTAAGCTTTATGGCGGCTCAAAATTAGTCACTCCAAAAGTGAAATTTCTTGTAGTGACAACATTAATGGAGTTAAGATTCATTTTATATAAGTGAAAGCAACTCATTTTTTCCTTCTTTCTGATGTTGGGATTATCAATTAATTCTAGCTAATTAGAGTTTTATTTTTATATATGGTTTACAATGAAAAGCTAGCCCAAATAGAGATTTTTTTAATTGTTTAACAATTTTGTTAAAAAAAAATTTTAAGAAAATTTAGTACCAGATTTTGATACTCTGCAGCAAGCCTTCTGCAATAAAATCTTCATTTTCTCATATAATAATAAGATTTGTGTGTAGCTGATTAAAATTTGCCTTTAATCTACTTTAAAAAGAATATAATGATAGTACACATCCTGATATGGTATTTAGCATTTGAACCCCATATTCTACTTTAGTGAAGTTATTAACAAATATATCACAAATATATCAATATAAATTTATAGCAGCATGTGAGGCTGCACAGCTCGTGTCTTATTAATAAGCATTCATAATTCATTTAGTTATTATTTGGTGTGCTTAATCTTTTTTGGATAGCTTATTATTTTGAATTGAACATTCATTTAAAATAAAGATTTTGTATTAGTCTGTACAGAGGGATTTTTTCACTAGATGTAATAACTAAGGTAGAGAAGGTCAACATAAATTTAAAAACAACAGGATATATATTTTTTTCAATTATATCATAAGTGGTTAGTGTATTGTGATCCAACGGCTAGTAATATTAAAAGAGAGAAAAATGGCTACTACATCCATGCAATAAAAGTTTTCATTTTTGATAAGATAGTAGTAAGTGCTGTAAATTGAGATGGTCCGCCCTTTCCCTTACAACCATGTGAGAATAAGTCATTTACATGCACTCCATTTTGCATGGGCCAAGCTTGTCTTTGCATTGCTAAAGGTTGGCATTTAGGGCAGGCAATCATCCATTTAATATAGCCGCTGCGAAGTTATAATGCAAATACTCATATGGATGGCATGTTTGGTTTTCAGTTCCATCAACTAGGTAAAACGTTTGGGGGAAACTTCGAATATTTTTTGGAGTATCATGTATTTGTATTGCTTATTAATCTAATTATTATTTCTTATATCTTTTTTATCTTTTCAGATCACTTAAACATAATATCATTCACTTATTTTTAATATTTTAACGCAATTATAATACTACTATGAAATAAACGTATGTATACGTCCAGACTTATAAAAATTACTCTGGTATTATAAGGAGAATATTTTTCCAATACAGTAATCACATATAACATAATCGTTAACAAAGAGATTTTTTAATTGAAAAATCTAATTTAGGATATTCTAACTAAGTTTATACAAGAAATTGAATGAACCTGTTAGTCTGATGTATTTATACTTTTCATTCCTGAGATTTTTTTTCCTGATTTTACATTATTTTGTTGGATTATTATATCCTCTTTATTTATTGTTGTTAATTGTATCACTAACAAGAAATGTATACAAGCTTTCCTTTTTTACTTATCCTCTGTTTTGGCAGTTATTATTGATTGCACGCTTTTGATTGTGATTAGTTTTCAGACATACACTCTCGTTGGGTGGTTGTCTGCTTCATTGTGCTAGGGGTTCATTGGTGTAGAGAAGATGACAATCAGATCTACATTAGTGTTGTTTTGTGTTTGTGGGCTTATAAATTTTTTTTGACCCATAATTTTGTTGAAGTTCGAAAGATCAAAGAGAGAGAAGAGTAGATAATTGGTCTCAATGTTAGTATTATTTTGTTTATGATGGCATTTTTCATTTATGTTTGGATTTTATAGAGCATTGGAGTGCCTATTTTTTGCTTTCAACTTCGTTTTCCTGGAATGGGTGTGGGAATGCAAATTATATTTTTGTTAAGTGCGGTATTGATTTTTTGTTTTGAATTAAAAATTGTATTTCAGCATTAGGATCTGTTTTTCTGGATATTGTCATGTTCAAATTGCGGTAAACAATGTGAATGTTACATATTATTGATTATAATATTGTACGGGAAATGTTTACGATATATATTTGCCGTACTTTAATATTTGGTGTGGTGAATTCTGACACTTGTCTAATATATATGATGGCATAAAGTTTTTAGTTTGGGGATCTAGCGCAATGCAAAAATATGAATATAGCTATATTTTTTTTTTCCAAGATGTGAATGTTCAACATATCAATGGTTATTTATGTTATCTTTTTTTGGTATGTATGCACACGTAGCAAATAATGGCTGGAGTATGGTTATAGTGGTAGTAGTGTGTGGTATGGGCTTATTGGGTGGGTGTTTGGTGAATGTGAACGTTACATTGCACGTAACGTTATTATTGTTATGGAATGTAGCATATTTTAATGAGTGTTGCTTGCATTTTTTAGATGTAAACCTTTAAACATTAGAATATGTGATGGTTGTATGACGTGCACTACAAAAAAAGTTTTTTGGTGACAGTGATTTTTTAGCCAACAAGCAAAAATTTAGTTTGCCAAAGTTTACATAATTGGTGCAGAATATTTATGGTCTCTAAAACCTATTAACTTTTTGGCGAGAAATTTAAAGGCTATCGTATTG